CTCAGTTTGTTCTCTGTATTTAAGCGTCTCTTATGGTTTGTCTCCCTCCCTCTCTGTTTGTAACTATTTTTCCCCCTTCCCTCCCCCATGGTCTTCTGATAAGTTTCTCAAGATCCACATATGAGTGAAAACATATGATACTTGTCTTTCTCTGATTGACATTTCGCTTAGCGTAATACCTTCCAGTTCCATCCATGTTGCTGCAAGTGGCATGATTTCATTCTTTCTCATTGCCAAGTAGAATTCCATTGTATATATAAACCACATCTTCTTTATCCATTCCTCAGTTGGTGGACATTTAGGCTCCTTCCATAATTTGGCTATTGTTGAAAGTGCTCCTATAAACATTGGAGTACATGTGCTCCTATGCATCAGCACTCCTGTATCCCTTGGGTAAATTCCCAGCAGTGCTATTGCTGGGTCATAGGGTAGTTCTATTTTTAATTTTTTGAGGAACCTCCACACTGTTTTCCAGAGTGGCTGCACCAGTTTGCATTCCCAGCAACAGTGCAAGAGGGTTCCCTTTTCTCCACATCCTCTCCAGTATCTATAGTCTCCTGATGTGTTCATTTTAGCCACTCTGACCGGCGTGAGCTGGTGTCTCAGTGTGGCTTTGATTTGTATTTCCCTGATGATGAGTGATGTTGAGCATCTTTTCATGTGTCTGTTGGCCATCTGGATGTCATCTTTGGAAAAGCGTCTATTCATGTCTTCTGCCCATTTCTTCACTGTATTATTTGTTTCTTGGGTGTGGAGTTTGGTGAGTTCTTTATACATTTTGGATACTAACCCTTTATCCGATATGTCATTTGCAAATATCTTTTCCCATTCTGTCGGTTGCCTTTTAGTTTTGTTGATTGGGGAAACAGTATTTTTTAACAAATATTTATTTTGGGAGAGCACAAGTGGGGGACGGGCAGAGAGAGAGGAGGAGAGAGGATCTGAAGCAGGCTCTGCACTGACAGGCCGACAGCACAGAGCCGGATGTGGAGCTTGAACTCCCCAACTGTGAGATCCTGACCTGAGCCAGAGTCCCAACGCTCTACGGCCTGAGCCACCCAGGTGCCCCGGAAACAGTATTTTTAAGTTAGCTAATAACTAGTCCTGCCTGAAGCGAATCTTAGACCTGCTGAATGTTTTTGTCTTTCTCCTTCCCCCATTCATATGTTGAAATACTGATGCCAGTGTGCTGGTATTAGGAAGTGGGGCCTTTGAGAGGTGCTTAGGTCTTGAGAGTAGAGCCCTCATGAATGGGATTAGTGCCTTTGGTAAAAGAGGCTCTTCAAGCTCCCTTGCACCTCCGACCTGTGAAGAGGAAGACTGAGAAGGCCTGGGGGCTATGAACCAGGAAGAGGGCCTTCAGAATGCAACCCAGCTGGCACCTTGATCTTGGACTTGCCAGCCTCCGGAACTGAGAGATAAATTTCTGTGGTTTATAAGCCACCCAGTATGGTGTCTTATTACAGCAGCCCGAATGGCCTAAGACAAGGTGTGTTAGGGGAGGCAAAATAACATGCTTGGGAAGAACTCAGGAAACCTCGTTTTAAACTTCCTTGGTAACCATATGTTCAGGGAACAAAGAGATTATTCTTACTGGGGAAGACTCCCAAGTGGAGGTTGATTTAAACCTGGGTTTCTCAACCACTGCGTGATTGACATTTTGGTCCTGATGATTCTTTGGGGTGGAGGTGGAGGCGGGTTGCCGTCCTGTGAGTTAATGTGCTTAGCTGTGTACATAGTGGTAGAAATAGGGAAAAGTGCGTCTACGCCATCTGTCCTCTCCATCCATTCTCTTTGCTTCTCAGTCTGAATCTTTTCCCTGGAAATACTCCAGCATTACAGAAGGAAGTTTTCCCCAGCTCTGTGCAAGGGTAAAGTTTCATTCGCATAATGTGAATTTTGCACGCACATCATAAGGATAGCTATCATGTGCTAGATACTTCCCATTTATCCTGGATTATATTATTCCCTGTATACACTGTGTGTTTTTGTCAGCTCCCGCTGCTATTGAAAAATAGCATAGACTGGTGGCTTAAACAATAGAAATTCATTTCTCACAGTTTTGGAGACTAGAAGCTGGAGATTGGGGCGCTGGCATGGTTGGATACTGGTAAGGACCCTCCTAGTTCACAGTAGGCCACCTTCTTGTTATATCCTTCCAAGGTGGAGAGAGAGAGAGAGAGAGAGAGAGAGAGAACTCTGGTGTCTCCTCTTCTTCTAATAAGGACACTGATCCCTTCCTGAGGGCTCTACCCTCAGGATGTCTAAACCTAATTACCTCCCAAAGGCCTCATCTCAAAATACCATCACCATGGGGGTTAGGCTCTCAACATACAAGTTTGGCGGGGGTTGAGATGCAGTTATTTCAGTGTTCTCCGTACTTGTTTGCTTCTAAGAATTATCTGGGGTTATTCATAAAAATACTGGTTTCCTAGAGTATCCACTAGGGACTCTGATTTAGTAGGTCTGAGAGCGTACCTGTATATAAATCTATATTTCTTTTTAAGTTTTTTTATGTTTATTTTTGAGAGAGAGAGAAAGACAGAGTGTGAGTCGGGGAGGGGCAGAGAGCGAGGGAGACACAGAATCCAAAGCAGGCTCCAGGCTCTGAGCTGTCAGCACAGAGCCCGACATGGGGCTTGAACTCATGAACCACGAGATCATGACCTGAGCTGAAGTCGGATGCTCAACTGACTGAACCACCCAGGTGCCCCAAATCTATGTTTTTGAGAACCATGTCAACTGATTCTTAAGATCACACAAGTTTTAGAAAACTACAACATTTGATTTCAATAATGCTGTGAGATAGATAGATAATTTCCTTCAGACTGAAGATAGAGAAGGTCAGCAACTAAACCAGGGTTGTGAAGTTTTAAGTAGCATGGATGGGACAGAATTTTCAGGCATCTCTGCCCATTGTCCATTCTTGTAAGCACTCTGTACTGTCGCTTACAGTGTTAAAATGATGAAGTTGATGGTAATATTTGCTTCCACTTTTAAAGATTTATCTGGTGGGCATTATTTTCAGTGTTTTATTATACACCTTAACTCATTCAGTTCTCACAGGAATCCTTGAGCTAGGCCCTGGATGATTCCTATTTTAGGAGGGGGAAAAATGAAACACTGAGAGGTTAAGTAATTCGCCTGAAGTCATTCAGTTACTCAAATGGCAGAATCTGGCTCTTAACTGAGGTAGTCTGGTTCTAGAGGCTACATGCTTGACCACTACTCCATATGGCCTCCATATTTTGCTCTATAATGTAGAAAAATTCTTCTTTTACTGACAGAGTCTGGGATGTTACCAAGTCTATAAATCTGTTAGAACCAGAGGACTGTCAGGAATTTATACCAGTATCTATATATATACATTTTTTAAATTTATATTTAATATATTATGGTTTTCAGAATTCAATATGCATATATGTCAGATAAGTTAACAACTACAGATTTTGGAGTTCTCTGTATTAAATGATTTTACTTTTACTATCAGTTTTTAGAAAAATGCATCAGATGAATAGTCTACTTTGTCTAACCCCTTTATGTTTTAGGTTTCATAAAACTATGCTGTTGTTGAATTCTTCAGAGAACCAAGGAATGTTTTAAAAGAGGGTATTCTCCCTCCTTTGAAAAACGAAGACCCTTCCCCCTTGTATTGAGCGCATCTGTGTTTGGTGGCCCAGATGACAGCACAATGCTTTAGTGTCCCCTCCAGGGATGGAGAATGTTCGTAATAGTGTGGCACTTGTGGGATATTAGATACATTCATATGGATGTTTATAGCAGTTTTATTTTCTTATGCAGTTATTATTCTGACCCCTAAATCTTATTTTATTGTGTTTGAAAACTTAGGTAATAATTTCAAGATGCCCGGACGTTCGAGTTCAAGTTCAGGCTCAACTGGTTTTATATCCTTCAGTGGTATAGAATCTGCTCTCTCCTCTTTGAAAAACTTCCAATCCTGTATCAGCTCTGGAATGGACACAGCTTCTAGTGTTGCCTTGGATCTTGTGGAAACTCAGAGTAAGTAACAAAACTTATTTCTTTTGTGTTTACTTTGAGATAACCTGGTGTGGAGGCATTCTAGGGATATGAGATACTGCTCACCTTTTGAGTGTTCTTGAGGCAATCACTTAATCCCTCTGGGCATCTGTTTTCTCATTGTGTTCTAAGTACCGAATAACAATGTACTGAGAATTAAATGAGATTGACTTATTCATGTTTCTTCAAATAGTTCTATGCTAGAAGAAACTGCACTAGAAATTTACAGGTTAAAACAGGAAGGTTCCTGTCCTCAAAGATCATTCAATCTAAAGTATGTGACATTTGTGAACTGTAAGGTATGCAAATGCATTATAATAAAGTTATTTTGCAGTAGTTCAAGTCTTCGTGCTTGATAGACTAAGCTTATGCTAGGGGTACCAGCTAGGAAGGCCTCTACCAAAATAGGAGAGTTGAGCTTTGATGAACATTTTTCTTTTTTTTTTTTTTATTTATTTTTGGGACAGAGAGAGACAGAGCATGAACGGGGTAGGGGCAGAGAGAGAGGGAGACACAGAATCGGAAACAGGCTCCAGGCTCCGAACCATCAGCCCAGAGCCTGACGCGGGGCTCGAACTCACGGACCGCGAGATCGTGACCTGGCTGAAGTCGGACGCTCAACCGACTGCGCCACCCAGGTGCCCCTGATGAACATTTTTCAATCAGAAGATTTAGAAAGATGTTATTTGCTTTCTTTGGATTAGGGTTGTTTTTATTTTATGTTATATACAGAGCAGGGGAGCAACGGATTTTTGGTTGTTTTTAATATCGCTAGTTTTTAGCGATTTGATTGTGATGTGTCTTTGCATGATTTTCTTTGTTTATTGTGTCTAGTGTTCTTGAAGCTTTATGGATTCGTGGGCTTATAGTTTTGATCAAATTAAGAAAACATTTTGCCACCATCTCTTCAAATAGTTTTTGTGTCCCTCCCCTCCCTTCCCCTTCTGGAACTCTAATTACATGTGTATTGGACAGCTTGATAGTGTCCGTAAGTCACTGAGGCTAGTAGTTGATTCTTTTCAGTTCTTTTTCTGTCTGGCTTCAGCTCGAAGTGCCTCTTGCTGTGTCTTCAAGTTCATTGGTTTTGTCTTCTGCAGTGTCTACTCTTGTTAATTCTGCGCAGTGAATTTTAAATTTCAGATACCGGATTTTTCATATCTGGACATAAAAAAGAATTAAATGGAATCTTATTTCTGTCTTCTATCTCTCTTCGTTATGTTCATGTTTTTCTCTGTATTCTTGAATATACTGAACATATTGATAATACCTGATTTAATATCCTTATCTGCTAATTCTGTCTTCTCTTGTCTATTGTTTCTTCTTCACATGGACATTGTGTGTGCTGTGGTGCTAAGTGTTTGGATTTTGTTGTCTTCCAGTAAAGAATTATGGCATTTGTTTTGGCAGGCATCAAAGTAATTTGTGGAGTAGGCTAATCCTTTCCAGGTTAACTAAACTTGGTCAGTGCAGGTCAAGTTGGTGTAGATTTATCTTAGGGCCAATTTTGCCTTGTTACAAAGCTTGGCCTTCCTGAGTCTCTGTTGATTGCCCGGAGGGTTCAGTGAGATAACTCCACTCCACTGGATGCAATTTGAAGCTCTTCCCATCCTGTGTGAATTCTGGGAATTGATCACTGTATAGCTCCCAGCACTTTTTTCTTAGTAGTTTAGGATTGAGGGGATCTCTGCAGATTCCTTGAGCGCTTTCTGTGCATAGCTCTCTCCCAGTGCTGTCTTGAAAACCCCTGTTGTCTTAGCCTCCCTGAACTCTAGTCTCTGTCTGTCCTTAGTCCTTGAAGATTTGCATTCCCTGCTTGGATTCCTCCTCTCTTGTGTAGGGAGGAGGGCAATTGCGTGACTTACCTAACTTGTTTTTCGCTTTCTGCAGGACTCAGTTCTGCCCTGCCTATTGCCCCACTGTCTGAGAGCAGCTGTCAGTTTTTATTTCATCCAGCTCTCTAGTCGTTCACTGCAGGGGGGCCAACTCCACACTCCAGTTCATTCATGGCCAGCAGCAGAAATCACCCATAATTTTTAGTGGGTAGCCTTCTAAAGTTCTTAACCTTGACTTGAAGTCTAACTTGGATAAAAGTCATAATAAAATCTTCAGCCATAAGAGAGAAGAGCAGTTGACTATGTTGGAGAGCAGTGACTGGATTGGAACAAATTAAAGTACAGAAGAGCATGTGGGAAAGTCCATGAATTATCTTTGTAACAGAAATGCTCCCTTTCTTCGCCTCTAAGATTAGCACCCTTTCTGTTTCCCTTCTGGGTTGCCCAATTTCATCACAAATTAGAATGAACTTTGTTAAAAGAGATGTTAGTGATCACTGAGGTACCATTTTCTCACTCCGCGCTGCAATTCTCTTGTTGGTAAGGGGGATTCTTGTTCCCAAGAACTTGGGAACTGATGTGTATTGTTTCGTTTCCCGTTGGTTGCATTTTCCTATACCAGGTGGTTGTCCTTGTTCAACTTCTAGCTCATTTGAAATGATCACCTTTCCCTGTGCTATGTTATAGGATGTGTATCTAGGCAATTGACTTTTACTGTTGCCATGTCTACTCCTTTTTTCTCCAAGTGTGTTGGTTATTCTGGGAATACTTTCTTTTTTTTTTTTTTAATTAAAAAAAAAATTTAAGTTTATTTATTTTGAGAGGGACAGAGAGAGAGAGGGAGACAGAGAATCCCAAGCAGACATCACTGTCGACGCAGAGCCCGACATGGGCCTTGAACCCCTGAAATCATGAGACCATGACCTGAGCCGAAACCAAGAGTTGATGCTCAACTGACTGAGCCACCCAGGTGCCCCTGGGAATACTTTCTTTCTTACTTAGTTGGGAAATGAAATTTCTTACATTAGGAGATTTTTCAGGTAGCTGGGGCTTATTTTTCGGATTTTTAAATTTATTGTGTACTCTTCTGCTTTCTTAGGCAGAAGTACTAAATTTATCAAAAGTGTTGCTGTTAATGTCATCTTTGAGCAGTTGAATTCTCATAAGCCCTTTAAGTTTAGTTAAATAAAATTGAGGAATGGCCCTTTTTTTTTTTTTAAAGTTTATTCATTTTGAGAGAGAATGAGAGAGTGCATGCACGTGCACTCAAGCTTGTGACCAGTGTGGGGAGGGACAGAGAGAAGAGAGGACCCTAGGCAGGCTCCGTGCTATCCGTGCAGAGCCACACGCTGGGCTCGATCTTAGGAACCACGAGATCATGACCTGAGGCGATGTCAAGAGTCAGACACTCAACCGACTGAGCCACTCAGGTGCCCCTAGGAATGGCCCTTCGAAAACATTAATGTACCTCAGGTTGTGTCCTCTCTCCTCTCTGCCAGGAAAGGAAGGGTTTGAAAAGAAGGAAAAAAGAGTTTTGTCAGAAACTCATACTGTTACAGGCAGTTGCTCTTAAAATGTGAGAATTAAATAGTTGGTCTCTGTACATATCTAAATTAATATTTTAAAAGTGCAAAATCAAAACTAATCAGTAGAGCAAGTCTTTGAAATTCCTTTATGTGCTTATGCTGCCTCTATTAACGTCTTTGATGTCACCTGTCACATGAGAGGCCTGGGTTTGCAAGACTTGCTTTTCAGAGTTGATTTTTTTCCTCCTAAGTGATAGTTTTGCAGTTACCCACAGAGTAAGGGATGGCACTTAATTGTGACTGTGTGGACCACAGTCATACTGATCCATTTTTTTTTTTACTTCAAATATATAATTCTTTAATTTTGAGTAAATAGATATTAAAATTCAGGGTTCTTTTTTTTCCAAAGGAGGGCATAATATAAAGCTGAATTTAAAGAAATGCATACTTGTAAATAAATATTTGGACTGCTTTTACTGAATCCTAGGTGTTTTAAGTTGCTGTATGAGAAATTAAATACGTTCTCTAAGATCTAAATAGAAAATAAACAATTTGGCAAGGCTTCATTAGATCTGCTTTTCTCCTGATTACTTTATAACATAATTGCACAAAGCAGATGTATGCAGTGAGCTTTTCTGTGGCATCTATTCTCATTAGGATAGCTGACTCTTAATTTAAAAATCGGCACTAGTCTACCTCCTTGGCTTTTCATGTGTTCCCAGGTAAGCTCCGCCCCCACTTAAAATGCAGTAACATGCCATATCCCGACATCCTGAAACCAGTTAATGTTTTCTCTTTGTCTCACGGTTGTTGTTGTTTTTCGTATTTATATTGTATTTCGCTGTGTTAATATGTCTGATCTTCCCTTTGAACCTGGTTTCCTTGGGGCAGAGACCCCAGGGTGCTCATCGGATGTTTTCAGAGGTTGGGACTTAATTTGATGTTTGTCAGGTGTTGAGTGTGTATGAGTTACGTAATAAGTGTCTTTGAAGACTGTTCTCCAAATACAGTTATTTGAATCCACTATGTAGAAAATTAAGTTGTTTTCAAAAATTAGAAATTGTGTGTTTTAATTTGTAAACCTAGTTTTTTAAGGCTTTGCATTTAATTTTGTGTAAGAGCTAATTCAGTGTATCAGAACCACTTAGAGAGCTTGTTAAAACACAGATTGCTCAGCCCCACCATCAGAGTTTCAGTAGGTCTGGATGAGCCCAAGAATTTGCATTTCTAACGAGTTACCAGGTGATGCTGATGTTGACGCTGCTGGTCCATGGACCTTACTTTGAGAACCAGGTGTAATCATCATTTCCTAGTTGGCAGGAAACTTCCACCACTAGGTGGCACCAGAATACTTCTTATGAGGTAGCCTTTGGCCTTAACGATGGGTTTGTTGACTGCGGAGTTCAAGATTGTGCAAAAGGTAAAATCGCTGAATTGTTGGCATTTTGTAGCTTAGAGCCTGAGTTATTCCATCTATCTGAGAAAACAAACATGCTGACTGTATCAGACCAGAGAAACTATAGGCCTATTAAGGTTACATTTCAAGATGAACTCTTCCAGGAAGGAAGAATAACTGCACATTTCCACTAGCTTCGTTTTCAATTACGCAGGCTATTCATTTGCC